ACGCATGCAGAAGGTAAACTGTAAGCTGATTTTTAAACGTAGGCCTATACCAGATAATCTGGAAAATGACTTATCATTAAGATTGCAAAACTTGCTAGGTTTTTTTTTCCTATGACAGAGTAAAAATGTTTTAACAAAACCTAAATGTAATATCCATACCAAACTGAAGGTAACAAAAAGCCTGATTTTAATCTAGCTGACAAGCGATGTAAGAATCGGATGTGCATAACATGCGATGTTGGTATTAATATCGCACGTCATCCAGCCCTATAATATACTACAGCCATTTTCAAATACAGTACAGCTCAGTCTCATTCGGAACCAGTACCAGTTTTATGCCAGTGGAGAACCATCACCTTGAAGTACCGTACTTTGGTACCTTCCTCTACATCTGCTGCAGCTAGTTGACAGCAGGTATTTGACCGCTGCACACATCATGCCAACACTGTCCTATATGTCAAAATCTTGCTTTATGTAAATGTCAAGAGCAAACATACACAAACGGAGACATTTTGATGAGAGTGATGGTGTTGCGTCTCACGGCTGCAACCCAAGCCATGCAATTGCTCTTTGGCATCTTCTCCATCTGCTGTAGCTGCCCGTTTTTCCAGGTAGGAAGTCTAAAAAAGTTGTCTCATGGTTAATTTTTCTACCGTGGGATTTATTACTGCAGTCTTTCACACGACATACCATTTTGCCAGTTTCAAAAGTAAATGAACAAAAAGAAAAGGCTCCAAGTTGAATGCAGAACAGATATCCAGAGTCCACAATACCTTAAAAATGCCATTTTACCCAAGATGCACTTTGGTGATATGTCATCTGCCAAAGACCAATTGGACTTGGGTACTAATATATCAATCATGTTAGAGCAGATATGTGATGATATCACATGTTGTAGCAGGACTGACTACTTAATAAAAAATACCTTTTGTAAAATGCACTTGTTTTTATGTCTCAAATGAAATTGATCCAACTGAATGATGGACAACATAAAATATGTCACAAAAATTAAGGAGCTAGGTGTGATCTTTGCTAAGGTGTTTGTGGAAAGCCAGTCAGAAGTAACATTCCAGGTCTGATTGGCTCTCCGAGTTTTTGAAGAGGAATTCTTCTCCAATCATTAGAAAGCAAGGCCACAGGTCTGACAGGTAACATTTTAAAAATCACATGACCATTGCATTTAAAATGATATATGTTTAGGGTGACCAGATAATCCACGTCAGGGAGGACACTCTGAGCTAGGACAGGAATTGTAAATT